GGAGTGTGTCTACAGCAGGTTTGTGTCTGTCCCGATTTGCACGAGGGGAGTGTGTCTACAGCACGTTTGTGTCTGTCCCGATTTGCACGAGGGGAGTGTGTCTACACAAGGCACACATCAATGGAGTTACACTCAGCACACTTCCTGTGGCTTGCCAAGCCCTGAGAAGGCACCACTTTTGCAATGGCTGGTTCCCAGGACTTTCCCCTAGGCCAGGGCAGCCGGACAGGGCTCAGAATGGGGAACCGTAAGCCAGGGCACACAAAACGGGGTCCTGACTCAAATTCCAGCAGACAGGGACCCCAGGACTCCAAGGAGGGGCAGGGTCCGGCAGCTTGGAGACGGGGTTCAGTTTCTGCAGGGTTCCTGGCTCAGGAAAAGCCATCCGTTTCAGGGGGGACTTCCCCGGAGCCAGGGCTACAGCAGCAGACCCCACCTCGAATGTCAGAGAAGATGGTGAGTAGCACGGGACAGGAACCCGAGAAGTCCGGACGAGTTAACCTAGGAGCCCCTCTGTGGAGGGGCCAGAGCTCATGTTCTGTAGAGCAATTAATTCATGCCCTTCCCCCCACGTCCCCGTAGTGAGCACAAATGCCACAGCCACCCCAGTGCCCGGCAGGGCTGCCCAGGTAACAGACAGCGGCGCGCGGGGCTGCTACGTACGTTGTTGAGGTGTTTCCACTCCTCAGCCCACTCCCTGTCTGTTAGTCTGTGGTCGATCACTTCCTCCTGGCGGGAGCCGTGCACGGCTGGAAGAGAACACGCAGGTCAGCGAGAGCCAGTCACCCTGGCCCAGAGCTCTGGGCACCCCAGGGGCTCCAGTTACGGCTGTGTTTTATGATCTGTGTTAGGACAGCACCTCGGGGCCGTGCTCCGGGATTAGGGCCCCTTGTGCTGGGCACTGTACAGAGCAAAGAGATGAGAGCAGTGCTGGCGGGCAGGGGGTGTGCCTGGCCCACGCAGCATGCTGGGAGGTGTCGTGCAGGGCCTGGGGCTGGAGCACGCTGCTCTGTCTTGGGCTGCACCCGCTCAAAGAGCTCGACACGGGCCGGCAGTGGAGTCACGCCCCATGGCAGGAGAGGCCATCAGGGAAAAAGAGAGAGAGAGAGACGTTCGAAAATCAGTGCAGTCTCTATAGCCTCCATACAGCCCCCACTTGGGCCAGCTCTGGAACACAGGGCACTGTCTGAGCAGCCCGGACAGGCTAACTAACAGGGAGACGCTTCGCCTTCCCTTTGCTAACCGGGGAATTGGGCTTTGGGCTGCTGCCAGGGCTGCCCATGTGCCAGGAACGGGGTCGCCCTCCCAGCAGCCCTGGGTCAGCACCTACACCTCTGCACTGCTGCTGACGGGGGCAGCGCTCTCCTGCCAATCACTCATGGACGACCCTCTTTACGGGCCCTTCCCTGCAGGAGACCCTGCAATAACAGCTGCCCACCCCGGTCCCCGGTCCCCTTTCCAACAACTTATCTTCTCAGCGGCGGGAAGGGGGCACTGTTCAGGACCACCAAGAACTCAGCCTGCCTAGGACCCCCGGCAGCCCCAGAATGTCCGATGGATTTTCCCAGGGAGTCAGGGACTGAAATGCTGAGTGATTTGTGTAACCACTGCGCACTAACCCGGACTCTGACCAAGCTCCGCTTCTGTCCGCACCACTCAGTCTGACTCGGGTCACAAGCACTCAGGACCTGGGTCCTAGGACCCTGCTAGGGGGTGGGTCAGAGCCCGAGTCCCACTGGGACTGGGGTCGAAGCCTGGGCACTGTGCAGTGTGGCTGCAGGGCAAGCCAGAGACTCGAGTCAGAAGGGCTGTGCGGCGCAGTAGGGACACCTCGGGTACAAAGCAGTGTGGACGCTCAAATGCGGGCCCTCGAGCCTGAGTCCCCCAGACCTGGGTTTACAATGCGTGTAGACAGGCCCTCAGCAGCTCTGCCTCTCCTCCTGAAAGATGCCTCCCGCCTTGGCTTGGTACTGCTGTGACCCCAGCAATTTCTGAGTAGCATGCCCGGGATCCGGAGCGCTGCCCTTCCTCCGGGAGAGCCATCCCCTGCTCTGCTCTCTCTAGCTACCCAGGGGCAACTCCTCTCCACGGTGTCCTTACAGCACCCGCCACAACAGGGCTCGCTTCCCTCCGCAGAGCTGGGGCCGAATCCGTCACCCGGTGTAACTCCACTGCCTGCAGTGGGTTGGGCCCTCTGTCTCCACCCTGCCCCAACTGCCAGCCTCCCCCCGGCTCACCTCACCCGTCCCTTCGTTACGCTCTCAAGCCACCCAGAGCCATGGAGGCTCCCTCCCTTGGCCCGTGCTTTGTGGTGGCCAGTCCCCACCGGACTGCGCACGCTCCAGGGAGGCACCCTGGCCCCCGGTGAATTCCCAGGCACCTCCCCTCGGGCAGGCAGTCTAGGGTGCCCCTTCCCTAGACTGCACGGAGCAGTCTGGCCCCTGCAGCAGTGGAGGGGAAGGGATGCTCTCCGGGTCGTCTCTCAGGGAGGTCAATCCCCCCGAATGCCCACGCCGCCTCCCACTCACCCACTTGCCGGTGGCGCTCCCGGAGCTCCCTGGGGTCGGGGTGCCGGTACGTGTCCCGGTAGTGGTGCGCCATGGCCATGTCCTCCAGGCGGTAGTGCGGGGGTGGTGGTGGGGTGGGGTGGGGCAGCCCGTTGGGCTGGTGGCTTAGCCCGTTGCTGGGGCTGTACCGCTGAGCGGGGCTCATGGTGCACGGCCGTTTGCTGAGGTGTTCGGGGTGCAGAGGGTCTCGGTCCGAGCCGTTCTCTTTGGTCCTGCTCCGGAGGAGAAAAAGGGCGACCTGGTTACAACACTGAGAAAGGGCTTCCTGACCCTCGGCTCCTTTGCAAAGGGCTTTGAGCCCCAGCCGCTGAGCCCAACTCTGACACTGACTCCCACGGGGGCCTTGGGCAAGTCACTGCCCTTCCGTGCCTCAGTTTCCCCCTCTGCCAAATGAGGGAGGATGATCCTGACCTACAGAACCTGAGGGTAAGTGTCTCCAGAAATGCAACTAGCTACCAACATATCCAGTCCAACCTGGAGCCCGCATCATTGCGTCCTGGGTGCAGTGAGTGATTCCTCCGAGCAGGGGGAGTGCTGAACTCAGTCTGAACTAGACAGCTGTGGGCCAGATTCGTCTCTGGCTCCTGCCTGCTCATGCACTGGCCCCCTGCAGGGCAGTCTGCTGGGTGACAGGGCACATGGCCAGGGAGGTAGGGGGCTGTATGGCTACACAGCACACTAACCCGGGCTCTGACTCAGGTTTGAGCCGCAGTCCTTCTTCTGTCCACACACCAATCAGTCTGACTCGGGTCACAAGCACTCAGGACCCGGGTCCTCAGACCCTGCTGTGGGGAGTCTCATTGTGACTCGGGGCCAAGCCCCGTCGCTGTGCAGTGTGGACACAGCTCAAGCCGCGGACCTGAGACAGAAAGGCTGTGCAGCGCAGTGTAGATATGCTAGCACGGCTGCGAGACCCCGGTCCAGCACCTGTAAGCCCCAGTTTACCATGCAGTGTGGACGCTCAAGCCCTGGCTTAGAAACCCAGAGACCCTCAGGCCCAGGTTCCATAGACCCAGGTTAACAATGCAGCGCAGACATGCTGTTGGGTGGCACTGGTCACAAAGAGGTGTGTGGCCAGGACGGCTGGAGGTGCTGATTCCTGCCCAGACAGCTCGCCTGGTGCCTGGGTAGAGATGCAAGCTGCCCACCTTTCTGGGAAGCCCCAAGGAGGCGGATGGTGGGAACTTCAGCTGCCCCCTACTGGAGTGAACCTCCCCTCTGGTGCAGGGGGCTTAGTCCTGACGTACCCCCAGATCCCAGGAGCCCCGAGGGCTGCACACGGCGGGGAAATGCTCCAGGCCATGTGACATTCCCCATTCACAGCAATCAGGAATGGGCGCAGCTCCACACCCCACAGTGCCTGGAGTCTGGCTGTGAGTGGCCCAACGTGCCTGCCATGCTCTCTGGAGTAGGGTCTCACCAGCCTGGGCCCTTGAGCTTCGCCAGGGGAAAGGCTGGCGGAGAGTACTCAGGAGACTGCCCTGCCCCAAGCCCCACCCCTAAAAGGTGGGGAGCTGGGAACGGCTTTATCCTCTCCTCCTTGCTGGGTCGCGCCCACTCGCCGCGGGCCCCGTGCTCACCGCATGACACTAGCCCCGGGAGCTGGGTGGGGCTCCCGGAAAGCAAGCGCGAGCCTCCGGGTCCTACCTGTCTGGTGTCCTCCTCTTGCCAGTCTCGGTGACCTCCAGGAGCAGCTCAGAGGAGTCGATGGGGGAAGAGGCGTTGGCATCGAGCAGCAGCTGTTCGTGCTGGGCCAGGTACTGGGCTGGGGTCTGCTTGGCCATGCGGGCGCAGTGGAGCAGCTCGCGCTGCAGCAAGGGCAGGTTGGCCTGCAAGTGGGGCAGAGACAGAGTAAAGCCCCCGCCAGCCCCAGCACTCCCCCCACCACCCACTTTTGCACAGACAAGCTGTCCCAGGCTGGGCTCCATTGCCTTGCAGGGGTGGGCCACGAGGGGGCTCCTTACTCTGCGTCCCTCGCAGACCGGGAAGGGCCAAGATAAACGGCAGAGGATGCCGGCCTGACAGGGAGGGAGGAGCTTCCTCACCCGCTGCTGGCTCTGCCAGAGCAGCCCCCAATGCAAGGATCCCATCTGCCTTGTCTGACCACACGACCAAGAATTCGCCGCCCTTGGCCAAACCGCCCATGTGGGTCAGTGCCCGGGTCTCGGGTCTCCGTGCAGCAGCGCTTCCCCGTCCCCAGGCATTGCTGGGGAAAGCAGGGGTGTAGCACACCCTTCCCCCGAACCAGCATAATGAGGTTCCCTCCCTCGAACCCCCAGTATAGGCCGGCTCAGCCTGAGCCTTGGCCGTGTTAGACACGACACGAGGATTCTCCTACACTTCTGGCCAGGAGACGTGGGAGTTACCCCATAACGACCAGCTGCAGGGTTTGTGGCACCTTCCCCGGAAGCAAGGTACAGGACACTGGAGTAGATGGATAATTGGACTGATCTAGAATGGGAATTGCTATGTTTGGGCAAACCTCCCCTGGTAACAGCAACAGACAATTGCTAGCACCTGGCCAGAATCCCAGCTGTATGGATTCAATCAAGCACCCGGCTAAGGTCTCCCTCCGTGCCTTCAGCCCCTCCTTTTAGCCATCAGAGTCAGGGGCTGGGAGCTCACCAGGCTTTGGAAGTCCCAAGAGTTTCTGTAACCAGCAGGCATCACTGCCGTTTGCTCCCATCCCATGGGCTCCTGAGGGGGGCTGCGGTTTGAGCTCCTCTGTAAATCATTTTGAGGCCAGGGCTGCTAGCCTTACTCGCCCTGAGGAGCGCCTTACTCAGTAAGTAGCTCCACTGATTGCACTGTTGCTGCTAATTCGAATGAAGGGTGACAGAATCAGGCCCATATATAGCCTGGCTAGGGAATGGGCTTCCCCCGTCCCCCGACCCGGAGACGGATTCTAAGCCACGTAAAGCACTTGGGGCCAGATCCAACCCCAGCCAAGGGGATGGAAAGGCCCCTGTTGGATTTCAATGGGGGGGGGGGTTGGATCTGGCCCACAGATGCCACAGGGATGGGCACCAGACAACCCCCGGGGATAAGACGAACACAGATCACAAAAGCCCAGGGCTTCTCCTGCCTATCAGCACATGTGGTTTACACAGGCTGCGTCCGCTCCTCCAATACCGCGGCCACTCGTGGTGCCACGTTTACTTTCCCTTAGCCAGCGCTTGGGAGCGGCTTTGGGGGTGTTCCTAGCCATGCCGCCACCCAGGCGAGAGCCCCCCCCAGGGCAGACCAGGAGAGCCCCACCTGTCCCTGGGTGGGGCCATGGCCAGCTCGGACACCAAGAGTCGCTCGCCTCTCCAATGTGTGCATTTGCAGGGGAGGAAGGACTTGTAAATAAACTCCCCCACCCACGGAGTTTCTCAGGGAGCTTCCACCCCGAGAAGAGCATCCAAAGCAGAAATGATTAAGCAGCAGAAACACATTTTTATCCAAGCGCTTTTGCTGCCAGCCCCGGTTTTCGATTTAGGCAGCTGATCCTCAGCCAAATCGCCATCTGTTGAACATGTTCGAGTTGAGCTGAGAAAATGTGCTGCTGGAGATTTGAGGGCAGCATGCCCCTCCCCCCCCCCTAGTTCCCCCTCTCCCCAGTTAAATAAATAATTTTTTAAAAACCGGAGTCTGGGAAACATACTGGGGCTGGCTGGTTGCAGTTAGCGTAATGAGAAGCAGCTGGCGTCCTAGGTGGAAACAGCTGGGAGCAGGGTGCCAGGGGATCAGACAGCACAGGGAGTGTTGTCAAATGGCTCCTCTGGCCAGAGAACCGCTGAGCCTCACTCGGGAACTGCAGCCAGGAGCCGGATTTTCAGAGCGCCCCAGGACCTGAGGTCTGGGAGCACCAGGCACAGAGGTGCCAAGGAAGCCAAGCTTCTCCAGGGCACCGTCACATCGGCCTCTGCCCAAGGATCTGGAGCCAAGCCTTCCCGGCAGGGAGCACTGGCCCTCTCTGATGGGCATGGAGCTTGGAGGACAGGGCAGCATCTCCCGGAGCGGGGCAAGGAGACGTACCCTCACCCTCCAGGCTGCGGCGCTCGGTCTCCTCTAGCTTTGGACAGCAGAGGAAGAAGCATCAGAAACTGCAGGTCCTGCCCAGTGCCCAAGACATGGATCCCCCAGCTGGCCCCCTGTGCCCGCCTTCCTCAGCGGTTAGGCAAGTGGGTACGACTGCCCGACCAACGGCACTGCAGGCAGCGGAGAGACTAGGTCCACTTGGAGCTCTGCCCCGAGAGCCAGGCCAGCAGCAATGTCCCTGATCCCCTCTCCTCCCCAGGGCCGCACTGACCGCAGCTGCCTGAGGGGCTGCTGTGCCGGGCCCAGGCACGGAATGGAAAGGGGCATTGGGGGGATCAGGGGAAAACACAATACAGACTCACAGAGCCAACTCCTTGCCCCATGGTAATAAATCCCTCGCCATCTACAGCACTTTCCATAGACCACCAAACTCAACCGCACAGCAACCCTAGGAGGGACAGCTTATTATTACCGCCCTTTCACCAGTGGGGAAACTGAGGCACGGAGCAGTTACGTGACCTACCCATGGCCATAGGAGGCAGTGTCAGAGCCCATAACTCAAAGCCTGATTTTCAGAGGTGCTGTGCACCCACAGTTCCCATTGGCATCAGTCCGACTTGCGAGAGCCCAGTACTTCTGCACGTCAGGCCCCTTTTTTGCCTCCCTGTGCCTCGGTTTCCCCATCCACATAGCAGGGAGAATAGCACCTATCTCCTGGGGGCATTGTGGGGCTTGGATTAATAGAGCCCATTCCTGCAGCCATAGAACAAAGAGCAACAGGATCAGGTCTTTCATGCTTGAGATTTTCAAACCAGTCCAGGTGACTGGCCACGTAGCTTTCATTCATGTCAATGGAACCTGGGTGTCTAAACCTCCTAGGCTGCTTTGAAAATCTCAGCCTATGTCTCTAAAGAGCTTTGAGATCCTCAGGCAGAAGCTCTGATTTTATACTCAGTTTCCCCCCGGACAGAAGGACGGGGGCAGGCGAGCCCACCCTGCCCGACGCGGCTGTGTGTGGGGCCAGCGCCGAATCGCCCCAGAGCACTCTTAAATGTTGAAACCCTTTGCCGTTTGATAGGAGTGGAATACACCGGCTCCGAGAGTGCTGGAGGCTGCTCTGGCCAGATTCCTGCGGCTAGTTCAGAGCCATCGGGATAGAACCCTTGGGGCCGGGGCGGGGGAGATAATAAAGATGCAAGGGGGGGGGGCTCTCCCCCCCCCCCTCCGATTCCTCTGATAAACAAGGGCAGCTGAAGCCAGCCCCGGAGCATCGGCTGTACATATTTGGTTTGAGAGACATGCCAGGGCGCTGAGAATCCCTCCAGAGCGGGGCGACAGAGCAGGCTCAGGGCGGAATTAAAAGGCAAATATAAAAGGGAGATTTTTAATGAACTGCACGTGGTGAGCAGCTGGGCCTAGCCCTGCTTTTTGCTGCACACAGCTCGGCATGTGGGCGAGAGCGGGAGTGCACCTGTACTGAAGAGCTGCGGGACGTCCTGGGGGCTGGGGAGGGGGCAGCACAGGTTACCCCCTCCCCACCCCCACATTTCCCAAACCAACAGACTCAGCTGCGAAGCTGGAACTGCTGAGACCGGAGAGTGAGAGCCCGGGAAAGAGAGAGGGGTCGGGCAACAACTGAGTTAAAGCTCAGCGAGCCCCCCTTGCAGCTCCTGCTCTGGTCCAGGGCCTCCTTCCTCACCTGGGGACGTCGCCGGCTCCCACCAGGCAGCAGCCCGGTCCCAGGAGCTGCTGTATGATTGTCTGTGGGGCGAGGAAGGCTAAGTGAGGGGGGGCCTCCAACATGGCCCCAACGGGCAGGGCACTAACGCACTATGGTGCAAAGCAAGAGGGCTTTAAGGGTTCCCTAGCGTTAATGTCGGGGGCCAAGAGTTACACCAAACTGGGCCCTGGGAGCCAAGGCCCAGCAACCTGAGAGTGGGAGGGGACATGGAGCCAGGCCCCCGTCCTTGTCCCCTTCGGGCCCCTGGCTGATCCTGCTCTGTCTCTTTCTCATTCGTGTCATGGAAGAGCAGACGTGCAGCAAGGACGGTTCCCCGCTAGCTCCCACAGGAGGCGGGAGCTACAGGTCTGGAAAACACCCTCACATCCATGGCATGGCAGAGACTGAGCTCCACCCACGCAGAGCTAGCGGGAGGCACAGGCGGGGTGGGGTCACTGGGGGGTTGTTTGAGCCTCTTTTGCGTTCACCTCGAGAACTGGCAATGCCAGGCACCCGCCCAGGAGAGGGCTGAGCCAGCTGCTGAGACCACGAAACTGGCACCACAGGTTCTCGCTGGGCAAAGATTTCATATAGGCCCAGAGTTCTGACCCCGCCCCTCGGCCAATCTGAGTGTACAACGCCCTGGGTCCAGCACCCCCTCCCATCACTGCCCGGGCGGCACCTCCGCTCCGAGCCGGTGCATTGACTGACAATGAGAGGGTCACGTTCAGACCCAGAGCCCACCCAGGAACCTGCTCCCGGAGGCTGCCCACATTCACCAGCAAACCCAGCCTCGGAGTGGAAGCCAGGTACCCCCAGCGTGAGCCGTGTCAACCCAGCGTCAGGCACTTGCAAATGAAGAGGAGGGAGTCAAACTTCAGTGGTGACATATTCCAGAGGGGTGGACCCCTGGCACTAACCTCCATGCCAGCAGCTGGGTGCCTGCAATGAGCGAGCACATGTGACTGTGTCAGCCAGCGTTCCCCGCTGCTTCCATTCACCTGGGCACCACCAGCCTGGGGCAAATATCCAGGCCCGGAATGGAGAGCTGGATCTGAAGCCTTGCGAGTGAAAGGTGGGTTTTCCCGGGGTTTCTGGATACCTAAGCACACCGCCTCTTTCCTAAGGGGACGCTGCCCTTTAGGTTAGGCAAAGCAAACTGGTTTCCATTTGTAACTGTCTTGCCCTTTGAAATGCACTCGAGAATGGCATCAGTGCGTCTGTCATCCCTTTGCATCCCAGGCTAGTAATCCTGTGTAACCCACCCCGCCCCCAGTGTTCACTTTCTGTTTATTTAAAACGGGGCAGAGCTGGGTTTCTGTCACAACGTGGCTGGCCTGGGGAGCGGGGGGAGGAAGGGCATAGCTCTCCAGCTGGGACTGATCAGCTGCCTCCCAGCTGAGGCTGTGATGAGGCCGTGGGTCCGGGGATAGCAGGAGCTCAGGTTCTGGGCAGAGTGGGTAGGGTAGGCTCTGCAGGGGAAAGAACCCAGTTTGCATGTGACACTCAGCGTGTGGCCTGGGAACAGACGAGGGAGCAGACTGGGAGTAGATAGGCCCCTGCAGGAGATCCCGAATCGGGGAAGGGACACGACTGATGTGCTGAATTTGTGTTATTTGGGAAAAGAACCCGAAGAAAAGGGGCCTGGAATCCCGTGGCTGGAGAGCGCTCTTTGGTGCACGGGCCCCGGGCTTACAGCGCCCCACAAAGCTTACTAGGCAGAGACAGGGCTTCCCGTTGGTTTGAAACGTTCCATGGAAGTCAAGACGCCCCCTCTGCGGCACTGGGAAGCCAAACACAAGCACCTCGGCTAGTGCAGAGACAAGGGCTTGCTGAGTTCCCCGGTCCAAAGCTGGGGGCAGCGGGAGAAGGGAATGTGCCACCCCAATGGGGAGGAGGGAGTGAGTCCTTCAAAGCATGTTCCTGTGCGTGTGAGCGGAGGGGGTGAGCCCGAGGAACACGGGGAAGGGGGTTCCTGGCTTCCTAAAATTACAACATTCAGGCAACCAACCCAGCACAACCCCCCCACTCCCGCCCAACTCTCCTGGGCTCCACCCCAGAGCTCCCCAGCTCCATGGGATCTGTCCTCATCTGACTCAGGTATTTGCATGTTCCTTGACAGAGCCGATAAATTCTTCCCATAGCCCAGGCGTCTGATAAGTGAGCCACCCACAGCAACCACAGCAAGTCAAAGGGTGCCTGATGCCGCAGAGCTCCCCCATAGGGTGTCATCGGGGGCTGGTGGGGCCACGGCCCTGGGCTAGACAGGACTGGGCGGCATAAGGGACCTACCTTCAAGAAGGGGATGACGAAGGGGCGCAGCGGGAAGTTAGTCGCCTCCTGGAGCTTGGAGTGGAACTCTTCGATGGTCAGCGTGGAGTTCTGCGAGGCAGAGAGAGGGTCAGGCTCAGAGAGGAGTCACCAGCCCGTTCACACGGCCAGCCATTCGCCGCACTGACCCCGCTTCTCCCTCCCACCAGCCTGGGGCAGAGCTGGGCATTTCCACTGGGCTCTAGAATTCACATGGCTACCGCCACAGGCCCTGGGCTACTAGTCACACGGGGCTGGGCTGGGGAGGGGCAGGTCAGTTCATTTGGACAATTCTCTCTTCACCTCTGCATTTCGGTGCAGGGCTTGAGGCCACAATGGGCAATTTGTACCCGGTGACAAATGCAGGAGAAATTCCCAGTTTTGCTGGGGGGAGAGAGGGGGAGAAGTTTGCTTCTGGGAAAACGGCAAATTTTTTCCCCAGAGCAAATTCAGGAACACCAGCAAAAATCTCTGCGGAGTTGGCCCCACAGCTCTGGGAGGGAAAAGCCTGGCTCGGTTACAGCTACGTCCGTCTCTCCGATGGGGCATGCCGGACAAACACGCCCCACAGAACGTACCACAAGCCCCAGCACCAGCGTGCGCACCCGCTCCCCGATCTCCGGGGAGATGTCGTTCCCAAACTGCTGCAGGGTGGTCAAGAAGCGCTTGAGTTTGCTGAGCTGCCGGGCGCCGCAGGCGGGAGGGAGCTGATGGGTGGACAGGGAGGCAGTGGAGGAGGTGGCAGGCCCGTTGCTGAACCCGTTGGGGGTGGAAGGAGCTCCATTGATAGCGGTAGGCGAGTGGCTGCTTCCATTCATTACTGCAATGAGAGAGACAGAGAGACGGTCACTGGAGAAGACACTGGCTTTCAAGACCAGTGGCTGGCCTCTGGCAGAACGCTGTAATGGGCTTCTAGCAAGTAGCGCTGTCCCCCACTGGAGAGAATCAGAACGACTCTACTATGGGCCATAGGCTCTAGACAGCCAGAAGCTAATGGGGATTTTCCTTTACCAAAGTGGGCTTTTTGGAGCAGGAGGCTGAGTTCTCAGTGTGCGGATGGTGACCTGCAGAGAGGATGCCATGCGCAGGTCCTGTGCAGGGAAGGGAGGTGGGAAGACGTGTCAGCGAGGGGAGGGCAGGCAGCACGGGGCGTGGGGGTGTCAGCACCAGGGGGCAGGGAAGATATGTCAGTGTTTGGTGGCTACATGGGGAGTCCGGCTGTCTCACAACGACATGTTGCAAACAGAAGGGAACGTGAACGCCAATGTCCGGCCACGGCAGCTTCCAATCGACAGCCAAGCAGCAGGGCGATCAGCCACGGCCCCCGCGGGTAAATGAATGTGCCGTGAAGCGGCCGTGTGCTCATCAGGCCCAATAAATCAATAACTCGCCCTGCTCCCGGAGAGACCTGGCTCAGCCAGTCATTTAACAGCGACACAAACACAACGCACGAGGACAGCAGAGCCTGTCTGGAAATCCTGCCCCTCGCTGCACAGGGGGCTCTGTGTATCAGCACGTGGCCTCTGCTGGACCAGAGCATGGACCGGAAGGAACAACTCGCCTTCCCCAGCCCCACGGAGAATCCGCAGGACAGCCAACGAGGGCTCCAGCCCGGGCTGTCACCACGGGGATGGGGAGCACTTTGCATCAGCCTCGGCAAATACAACCTGACAGCGGAGCGAGGGCCTGAGGCTGCTCGACTGGCTGGGATGTTTGCAGGTGGTGATGTCTAGGGCTCGCTCCTGCATGTGCCAAGCGCTTCCAAGGGCTGCTCATGCAGGGCCAAGCCCCAGGAGCCAACTTCCAAGGTGTTCAGCAGCCCGGGGGGCAGGACGGGCGCAGAGCTCTTTGGAAAATCCAGCCCTAACTCACCTCAGCCATACATGCGGCTATCTGCAATCACAGAATGAAAGGCAGGGCCAGGCCCTGACATCTGCTTTCTAACCCTGCAGAACAATCGGTTGCATTAAAGCTGTGCCTGCAGCGTTTGAACCCGCAGCAGTGGATCCTCGGCACTTACAGGCCGTGCATTTCCTAGCGTGTGCAGAGATCAACCCCCTAGGAAAGGTGCCTTCATGCCAATCGCTGCTGAGCAATCGCCCTCTCCTGTCCACAGAAAGTAGAGAGGGGATTGTGCTGCTAGGTCCCGCCTACCCCACCCGGCATCAGCCAGGGCAAGATTGCGCCAAGCCCTGGGCACTTCTGCCCGTTGTCCAGCGCAGCTTGAAATCACAGAACCAGCACAATTGCTGGGTAATTACACTCCGGGGGAATCCAATCCCTGGATAGCCCATCAGTTACAGGCTTTTCGCCAGTCTCCCGCCTCTGCCTAGTCCCCACGTCTCCCCGGAGCAGGAACCGCAGCAGCTAGAAGCGCAACCCAGGAAACAGAGTCGCTCAGAAAAGCAGAGGGATTCCTGTTCACAGGCTCCGTGACACAGTGCATCTCCCCCGCCCCCCATGCAAATCACATCCATGAAATCGGGGCGCCGAGTCCCCCTGAACATAGCTCTGCTGGGAACACAAACCCCAAAGGGCCCCACGATTCGCCCTGAGAAAATACAGCCGCTGAATAGCCCCGTGGCTCTCAAAATCCCCCCTTCCTGCGTTCACTACTAACCTGCCCCGCTGTGGTTATGCTTCTTGGAAACCAGCAGCCCTGACTCTGGTGTTTTCTCAGGCTCCCTCTCGCTCTACTATGAAGCAATATCAGCCGCTTGCTAAAGAGATGCCGAAAATAACCCCCTGGCCACAACTGCTTTTATTCCAGTGACAGGTGTGTTACTAAGTTAAACTCCGCACATGGCCCCGACGGAAGGTTTGTGGACGCAGCCTGCACCCTTGTAGCCAGCTCCGCTAACGGGGGAGCGAGCGGGTTGGGAAAAAGTCCCGTTCGGACTGAGACGGTAAAAAACGAACAGCGGCAGCCTCCTTGAAAGCACCCTCTCTGCACGCCCTCATGTGCTCACACCCACAAGCGCTGGTGGTGAATTCGCTGCTCCCACAAGGCTGGGGCTAACAGACAGCAATGGACGCAGACACCCGGGACTCCAGGATCAGCTGCCAGAGGGCAGATCCCAGCACTGGTCCCACAGAACGGTGTGTTTGCCAGCTCCCCATCCTGCCCCTATGCTGGGCTGGAGCCATGTCCTACGATTGCTGTGCACCACTCAATGAAAGGGCTCGTTGCCTGTGGCTGTGACCCGGCTCCCCACGCCCTGGGGCCGAGTGCAATGCCCACGGAGCAGGCTATGCGCTTGGGAGCTCCCTTAAGTGCCCTGTGCCCCTGTGCTCTGGGGAGGAGGTAATATCCAGGTAAAAGCAGTGCCCCAGCTTCACCCCAAGCGCCCCCACCCTCCCACGGGGCGGCATACCCTATCCAGCTCCTGCCTGCCACGTAGCAGAACTGTCCCGGTTCTGCCACCCACGCAGAAGCACGGGGCAGGATGTCCCTCGCACTCGGTGCAGCATTAAGGACACGGGGTTGCTCTCTGGGGGAGGGAGAGCTGAGGTGGGCTCTGGGTCTCTCATTAGAGGGTATGTTTCATTTTACTTACAAAGACAGACCATCGACCATTTCAAGCAACCATGAAAACGGCCGCGAGGCAGAAACGTCGGAGGCCCAGCTTCTTGATCTGCAAGCAAAATAAAACACACGCTATCATGAGAGACCAGAGGGGGCAGCTTTCCACAGTGCTGGGCGGGGGCTGGGCTGCTTCGGCCCCCATCTGCTTGAACTGGAGCTGCGTGGTGAAAATCCGGAGGTGAGAGACTTAACGGACTTCTCCTTGGAATGGACTGTGGGTCCCTGCCTTGAAAAGGCCTGGCCGTGCTTCCTAAATGGCATTGATCATCCAGGGACCTCCAAGCACTTTGGAGGGATCCATAAAGGAAGCCTCGCCACTCCCAGGCGAGGCAGGTATCACAACCCTGCCTTGGGGAAACTGAGGCAGAGAGAGGGGAAGCAACTGGCCCAAGTCACACAGCAACTCAGTGGCTGGGAACAGAACCCTGCACTAGCCATTAAACAAAGTTCCCTGGATAGGGCAGAATTGCCACTGTCCCAAAGCAGGCAATTCAGGGGATAAATACTGACCTCTGAATCCAACATGGCCCTCTAGTGTCTGGCACCCCGCCCCCCCCCGGCTGCCTCCCTGAGTCCGACACTCTTACTAACCTCCTCAGCTTCTGCCCTGTCCCACGGCTTCCTCCCCCCGTGCTGCACAGAGCTCTCAAGAGTGGTAACCATTAAGTTTGCTGGTTAATAAAGTCCCTGATTTACAGGGTAAGTCTCAGCGCAGACCTGAGTCAGGCGGTTTGCTAATATTCACTAGGACTAAGTGCAAAAGGGACAACTTAAAATTCTTTTGCCTTTTTGTAACCTTTATGCATGCTCAATACATACAGAGCATCACCCTCAGCCGCAGTGTGGCTAGGAAAAACCCGGCATGTTGGAGGAGGGGGACACCCCGCTCCACACAGATGCACACGCACAAACCCAAGTACGAATTAAGAGGCACCACATCTGTTGCAGAGCTCAGATTAAAAGCAAAACCCATCAGATCACAGACGATCAGAATCCGATTTCTAATTAGAGAACAGCTGGTTCCAAACCCAGTGCTTGTACTGACTGGGAATGCAGCTCAGGGTTAAAAAAAAAACCAAACCAACCCGCTACCAAACACACCTTAAAGAGATTGGGTCTTGCCTGGATTCTCTTGAGCGGAGCAGATGGAGCAGCTTTGCCGTTCGAAGGCTAAGCAGTTGTCAAAGGCATTGGTGGGTTGTTGTTTTTTTTGTTCTTAGCATTTATCAGCAAGAAGCTGTTCTATTTGGTCATGAGGCAAGGCTCTCTGCTGGGGTGGGAAGGGGAGTCTCTTACAGATCTAGACCAGCTATTTCACAGAGCAACAGCTAGGCCAGTGCAGAGGATACACACACACCCACTCACATTCGTACAGTTACTCGTGGGCCATTGGCGCTGTCGTTTGTAGAACGGTTGTTGGCAGTGATGTAGCTGCGTTGGGCCGGAAGAACAGCTCTGGGCAGCTCCAAAGCTGGTCTCTCTCCCCAACACAAGTTGGTCCAGTAAAAGATGTCACCTCTCCCCTCCTTTGTCTCGCTTATTGGCACAAAGGGGCAAACAAAGTATGGCAAGGTGCCTGCAATCTCCTCTCCCTCCACTGGGGGCTCCACTGCTGGTCGGTGCAAGCCCCCAAAGTAGGTGGTGCTGGTGGCCAGGGAGTCATTGGGGAATGCCACCGGAGTGGCTGCTGGAGGATTTCCCCACGGACTGAAAGCTCTCTCCCCTAGCAGAATCCCGGGGGACAGCAAGGAGATGCCACGTGCTCCTCCCTGGGCTAGTAGGTGAATGAATCTGGCCCAATAGTTTTACATTTCCAAAGTGATCAAGGCCCAACCCCACCCGCTAACGTCCCGTCTTGTTCCCGCTGCCCGAGGGGGCTAGAGAAAGTGGCCTCCAGCCCACTAAAGCCAAACGGATCTGTTTGCAAAGGGCTCCTCTGTGTCTGCAGGCACCTCCCGCTGCGTCTCCTCCATCTGGGTCTCTGGAGCAGCCCGGAGCAGGCTGTAACATGTCTATGTGACTGGCTCCTGCAGCGTGTCCCAGGACATTGCCAGATACAGCATGCAGCCGGTGCACACCAATCCCCAGCCTTCCCCGCTTACTACACGGAGGAGGGTGGCTGCAGCAACTCAGTGGAGAAGCTCTGCGGAAAAGGGGCAGAGCAGGGCTGCCAGGACTAGTCACGCGAGATGACTGATCCTGTGGAAGCTGTGAATGGAAGGGGGGAGGGCGGATAGCGGGGCTGGGGACTCAGGTGTGCTGCAGAGACACTGCACAAAGCCCTTGTTGAGCACCAGAGCCCTCCCAGCTGCGTGGTTTAGCTCAGGAGGAGGAGGCCCCCTGGGAGCGTTCCTGGAGCAATTCCCTGTCTGCGCACTCTGACACCTGCGCTCTGTCGGGGATGTGACAGAACGTGGGGGTGTGTGCAACCGGATTATGTGCCTTCTCCTTTAACACCATCCGTCTAGGGCCCTACCAAATTCACGGCCATGAAAAACGCATCCTGGATCATGAAATCTGGTCCATCCCTCCCCTAAGAAAATTGGTCTTGTGTGTGCTTTTACCCTATACTACACAGATTTCACAGGGGAGACCAGCGTTTCTCAAATCGGGGGCCCTGACCCAAAAGGGAGTTACAGGGGGGGTCACAAGGTTCTTTTAGGGGGGTCGGGGTATTACCACACATACTTCAATGCCTTCAGAGCTTGGCAGCCGAAGACAGGCGACTGTTGGCCAGGCGCCCAGCTCTGAAGGCAGCGCCCCCGCCAACAGCAGCGCAGAAGTAAGCGTGGCAGTACTGCAACCCCCCCTGAAATAACCTTGCGACACCCCCACAACTCCTTTTTGGGTCAGGACCCCTGCAATGACAACACCGTGAAATTTCAGATTTAGATAGCTGAAATCATGAAATTTACGATTTAAAAAATGACTGTGAAATTGACCAAAATGGACGTTGAATTTGGTAGGGTCCTAACTATAATACTCCCTAGCTCTTCTATAGCCCTTTGCATCAGCAGATTTCAAAGGGCTTTACCAAGAGGGTCAGTATCATTATGGGGAAACTGAGTCACAGAGGGGGAAAGTGACTTGCCCAAGGTCGCCCAGTAGACCAGTGGCAAAGCTGAGAACAGCCCCCAGGTCTCCTGACTCGCAGTCCAGTGCTCTATGCACTGTCTCCCATTCCACACTATGGTGCAGCGCCATTCACACATCACACATCAGTGTGTTACACTGTGGCACAGCAAGGTTCCAACACATATCGTCACTGCCTGCCTGGAGATACCGACAGCTCCAGGTGCTCAGACACTACACTGATAAGGGTCGTGGAAGAAGTAGCTAGCTAGTCGGAGATGTGTATGGGGATCGGGAGATAGGGAGATAGATGACAGGCCATTGGGGAGCACAGGGTTAAATCTATCCCAGGCCCAGCTCCCCAGGCTGTTCCCAGAACTCCTTGCAAGCAGGAATCCTGTTCAGTTTCTTCTTTCTTCTCAGGACAGTGATGGAACGAGGAGTCCGCCACGAACACCCGGACAGGGAGCAAGCAGTTCCCACTAAAGCCAATGGGAGCTGCAAGTGTGCAGGACCATTCAGGGTTGGCCCCGTTGTTTGTACCATGTAACATTTTCAGTGATGGTCACAGGTTGATCCCAAACCGGCCTGTGATGTCCACCTGGAACAGATCCTGACGGCGCCCTGTCACTGGCAGGACAACTGCTCCTCTTCCATCCTTTCCCATGGGACTGGCTCCGCACAGCCTGCCCCAATCGTGCCAGTCTGTGGCTATGCGCTCTAGGGGGTAGGTTTTCTCCAGATCATTTGCTTGCCATGCTGGCCTGACCTCTAGCTTTCCATCCCCCTCCTGGGTGTAGATTGTCCCAAACCTTTCGAGAGTACAGCTTACCCATGTAACAGGGCGCGCTGGCATGCGAGGGAGTGCCCCTGCGGCATGTGCTCCTGGCACCCCCAGCGCTGTGCTGTGTGACAGCTCCATTCGTTTGAAAAGAGACGAAGGAGGCTGCAAAGTCTTAGAGGAAAGGAGGTGGATGAGATCCAAGACAACCTATCAAGGCACCAGCCGCTCCGTGCCTGGTGATAGGAGAGGAATGAAACGGGCTACAACGCTGTAGAAATTAAACTGGCGTGGGTCTCCTTATCCCACCAGAGAAAGGAGAGAACACATCAATGCTGTAGCCTGCAACTGGCAGCCAGTGATAAGGTAATCCCAGATCCCACCACAATGACTTGATGCACACAGGCCATAGGGGAGCACGGGTTAAACCAGCATCAACAGCTCATTACAGCCCGGATCCTGGCACTCCTAAGTCCAGCAGCCCAGTGCCGCAGGGACTTGGCACCAGATGGGAGTTCCCCTTTGTTCGTGGCTTTCCAGCCTGGGGTTCGCTGCCATCCCCCTCTCCTCCCCCCGGTTCTTCCTAGAGCTGCTTGACAGTTTGCATTCGTCATTTTGTTGCTGCTGACAAAAATTTGGCCTTTTTTTCTAGCAAAATGTTTGGTGGGAAATTGTTGTGTCTCAGGAAATGTTCAGCTTTTTCAGCAGAAGTGAGAACAATGGAGCGCTTGTTGCTTTTTTGCTTTTTGGTTGATAAACTGATTCCCCCCGAAAAATTACCACAAAAACCCCTCCCCAAATGTTTTGTTTCTTCCTCAGATTTTCATGGAAAATATTCATAATTTCCCAACCGGTTCCAGTTGTTTCTGTATTGGAGAGAGTGTTGTCTCGTCGTTAGAGTGGGAGGCGAGGGGCGGGCACTGGCAGTCAGGACATTGACTCAGTGGGTGACTGTGGACAAATCACCCAACCCCTCTTCGTGCCTCAGTTTCCCCCTCTGTGACACGGGGATAACCACACTTCCCTAACCGCAGGGAGCACTTTGAGCAGGAAGGTGCTGGAAGGGTAGGTGCTTTGTGTCCTTTTTAGAGATGCAAATAAATAAGAAACACAAAGGCCCGTTCCAGGACGAGAGCAGTTACTCTCTCTCCACAGCATGAGGCTAACACAGAGGGGTGTGTCTCAGCTTCTAGAGCCCCGGGGCATAGCAAGGGCGGTGATGGAGGAGAGGTGTTAGGCCTGCCTACGGGCGTGTGCTCATCAAGAGCATTGGCTGCGGGGCTGGCCAGGCCCCACCTGCCCAGCCTGCCCCTTTGAGGTGGGCAATGCGCACGGTGGCCCCAGCTGAGCCCTGCGTGGTGCCACGCGGGCGCAAGCCAGGGATGCCTGGCTGGCTTCTGCAGGAGAATGTTGGGGCAGGGATGGGGGGAAGATGCTCCCTGCCCTTCCCTTCCCCTCCCCATGGCGTCCTGCCCAGGGGCAGCTGTAACAGGGCCCATATGCTTCCCGGTGGCACAGGGCACAGAGCCCTCTCGGGGAGTACCCTTTCCAGGTGACATCTCCGTCAGCACGACAGGATCCGGCCCCGAGTCTGCTCACCGCGTCCCAACCCCTCGCATCACCCCAGCCCCGTCTGCCCCGGCTACTCACTGGTGTTTGGCGTGAAGGAGGGGTGCCGCGTGGCTCCCTGCGTGACGGCTGGCGGCGGAGGAGGCATGTTGGGGGGTGTCGATCTGGACTGAGTCTTCACGTCGGCCGGCGAGTCAGGCATTGTGGCTGCCTTCTTCTTCTCTGCACTACCTGCAAGGGGCAGAGACGCAGAGAGCGAGACACAGGTGAGTGCAGCGGATCGGGGTCGCCGGGCCACATGGCACTAGTTAAACCCAGGCTGCTGATCCTTCCCTCACCCAGACGCGGACCTAACGCCCACTGGAGTCAGTGGGCATCTTGCCCTGGTCTGCAATGGCCTTTGGGTCAGGCCCTCACGGGAGGTGGCAGCTGTGCAGACCTCTTTGCATTGCAGCCAATCGAAACACACGTGTTTCTCCTCTCACATGGGCAGTTATTCCTGATTCACATCAGCAAGAGGAGGGCATGGCCCCGTGCCCCGTAATGCACACGGCTATGCCACTGGAAAGGCATCACCTTGGACTGAAACGGGCCCCCACACATGTGCCCATTTCAGGGTCCGTCCGTCCCCGCCCGAGGGCCCTTCTCCCATGGTGAGAACCGACTCATTTGTCCCGGGGAACCTCCACGTTTCCAAAACGCCAAATTGGGAACATTCCTTCCAGCAACAATGCATTTGTCCCAAAACACCGAGAACTTCACAAACGTTCTGGGCTGTGAAACGGCCAACATTCCTTGGTTCAGGACTATGGCACAGGAGAGGAGCTTTATGAGTTCCCACAACCCCAAAAGCTGGCGTTTCGGGGATGGGATGGGAGCACGTTTGCTCCTAACTCTGCCTGGGTCACCCCACCGCTCCTTCCTGAGCAAGGCGAGACTCAGATCACCGAGGGGGCAAGGAGGACGGCTCTCAGGGGCGTCCCTTCCTGTTCATTGCAGCGGGGACCCAGTGGGTGCAGGGCGGGAGGAGACGTCTACCCTCCCTGCCCCAGACGGAAAGTGCAATTTCACCCAATGAGCAGTGAACCCTCGGGCTCCTGGGCAGACGCATTATCACCAGGTCCTACGCGCAGTCATGGAGGGCCATGTCCTAGCTATACCCTGGGTCTTGGGGGCTCAGCTTTCTTGTACCTGAGCCCCCGGCCATCCATGAGCTCGGCCTCACAGCAACCGGGCATGGCAGAGGGACGTGTCATTCTCCCCGCAGAGAGATGAAGGGCGGAGAGCTCAGAAGGCTGGGGAGAGACGGGTCCCTGGGGAAGCGATTCCCAAAAGCCAGCGCACTAGGTGGGGAGCCGCCTACGCTAGCCAAGGGAAGATGCCAGCCAGGGCTGGTGCACAGCCCCACCGTGCTCTCAGAGGCAGGCACCGAGGTCCAGGCTGCAGGGAGGTGTCGAGCGCCGAGGACGGATCACGCTCATCACTTTTAGCTCAGTGACGAGCGTACTGATCTGGGAAGTGGGAGACCCCCCGGCTCAAGTGCCTCCTCCCCCAAAGGAGGAGAAGGGATTTGCCGCCTGGCAGGCGAGTGCTCTAACCATTGGGCAGGTCTGCTGTGGAGTTCCCTCCATCACTCCGGTTTGAAGCTGTTGCGTTGGGGATAAATAACGAGACTCTGTGGAGCAAGGAGACCGGCTCCTGGTCTCCCCCGTCCTGGGCGAATGCTCTAACCGCCAGGCGACACAGCCACGCTGGGGCTTGTGCGCACTGGCTCGCAAAGAGTCGTTTGGACAAGAGAGCGGGCAAGCGAGCACACCAGCACGAGCATGATTCTGCTGCCTGATGGTTGGTGCACGTACCAGGATGGGGGAGACGTGGGAGCCAGCCCCTGCTCCAGTGGCTCATTCGTTATTTAGCTGCAGCATAACAGCTTCAAGGGGAGGGGCTGGGGCCCGACATCAGACTGTCCTATACCCCGGGGTCAGGGCACGGACTCCCCATTCAAATCCTTTCTCCCCGTTAGGTGGAGGGGGGATTTGAACCGGCTACTCTCCCACCTCCCAGCTGAGTACCCTAAGAAGCACTGGGCTAAATGTTCCAAGGGAGGCTGTGGTCCTCCTCCCCCGGCCGCCTTGTGCAAGCTCGCTGACGGGGGCCGAGCTGCGAGGCAGCCTCTGAGCACGCTGAGCGGATCAGGCTCCTCAGGCGGGTTAGGCCACCGAACGCCTCTGTGGGGAGATGGGCGTCCGGACGGCCCCAGTGCGCATGCCCCGAGGCAGAGCCATTGACGCCTCCAGGGTTTCAGCAGGAGTTTCGTGCATCGCGGTGATCCCCAAACTGGGGCTTGTGCCTAACTCCGGCGGAGCGTTCAGCCTGAGGGGACGTGCCCCAGGGACCCCGGGGGTCTGGGGTAGACCTGAGAACTGAATCCAGAGCTCCTGAGTCCCCACGACTGTGCCTTAAATCACAAGGCCGCCCTTTCTCACCCAGCCAGCCCTCTGCACACCAACATATTGTACAGAGCTCCTCCCCCCATATGCACAGCACTGTCGGATACACATCTTCATCCAGCCACACAACACTGGATCACATAGCCATCTACCCACCCCGGAAATCCTGTACCATGCACACGTCTTCCCGCATACGTACTAATGCACAGTCCACACGCACCTCTATTAGCACACGCAATATGCCCTGTACACACGCACCCGACAGATCTAGATATGTGTCACGCATGCACAGAGCATGCTGTCATCTTGGCGCTCGTCCCCGAGAACCCATCTCTGCCATGGCACACACCGTCAGAGCAAGCTCCCTGCTGGTTACCTGCCAGTTTGGAAGGAATGGGAATTCTCCCCGGGTCGCCGGCTGGAATGCCGCGCCGTTTCCCAGGAATTATGTGTGGAGTTTCAGGAATCGCGCTGTCAGGCCGGGATTATTCACAGATAGTAAATTGGGCTTTAGGTGCCGTGCTGCAGTCAGCAGCTCCCATACACCCAGCAACCAGGGCAGTTCCACGGGTGCCTTGAGAGCATTCGTTCCCGCGTCATTGACGTCAAGCACTCAAAAATCCCCAGGCAGGCCCCAAAACATCAGGGGATTTAAAAGACCTAATAAATATGAGGTTCCCTTTCTTTGCCTCGTGGTTTCTGAGCCTTTAGGGGTCACTCAGGACACGTTTTCCGGCTTTTCTCCAAAACCAGGAGAGGGGAAATGTACCTTTTTTTACTAAGAGCCGAGATTGTGGCATCATCCCAGGATGAGCCTAGCTGGGGCTTTAAGAAAACAACATGACTCACGATCGTCACAATAACACTGCAAGAACCGGCCACACTGAAGCCCGACGCCTTCACTGCGATTAAACTCTTCTCCAGATCATTGGGAAAAAAATTTCCTGCCCCTCCCACCTCTCGCTTGTCCAATAAAGCCACAATGACAGAGCTGGTGGAAAGTTTTCCAGCACCACGGGTTTCCATCCTCAGAAAATGCCACGGCCTGGAAATCAAAACGTTGTAAATTTTGATGAAATTTCCTCACAGAAACAAAAAACAAGCGGACCGAAGCATTGGCCCATTTGACGTCTCTCATGCTGAGCAGCACAGCGTTGGTTTTTAACAAAACAGAGCATTGCCGTGGTTAGTTTGAAAATCACTTGGCGTTTTGCAATTTGTTTTGTTGTATTTGATGTTATACTAGAAGTTGTGATAGACAGTTAAAAAAAAAGTTGAAAGTTGATCAGCTCAAAGTGAACTGTCCCTGTTCTAAATATCTAATGCTGAGAAGGGCAGTGGGGGGTCGGGGGTCAGGTGCATTTGACAAATTCCAACCACCAGTGCGCCCCCACCCAGCTGCCTAAAACTAGCTGTGTCTGAAGGTCAGAGATAACCTGTAGCTGGGGAGTGATGACAGAATTCCTTGTCCCCGGGATCCCTGCGAGCTGTTACCAGGGAATATCCTTGTGATGGGGTGTTCATCCCCCTTCCCCCCACAGGAGCCCGTAAAGGGTTAATGACACAGTTGCCAACGTTCACGTGGTAAATAAGCCCCCCGACTTTCACAATAAGCCAAAAATCGAGCTAATCCCATTTCAACACAAGCCAATCCCTAAGAACCCCAACACTCTGTGACTAGATCCCCCCGGCGTGCAGTCTGGGACTGGGGTGGGCCCGCTGTGCACCCCGACTCTCTCCCCCCCTTGCCCCCGCTTGCCGGGAACTGATCAAAAAAAAAGAAGCTACAGTACAAGCCAAAAACTAGCCAACAAGCAACTCACAAGCCAATTAAGCCAAAAACAAGCCCAATTTCTGTGTTTTTTTCGCGGCTTTGGCATGTCTGGTTAATGAGGCTCCGAAGGAGCCAATTAACCTGACAGGCAACACCTGAGGGAGAACAAGGTGGGAGGATGGAGCCCAGCTGGACAGGAGCAAGGAGGGCTGGTATAAAGCCAGGAGGCGGCTTAGAAAGGAAAGAAGGAGAAGCCCAGGGGGAGAGCAGAAGCCCTGGGCTCCTGGCCCTCAAGGAGGGGTGTACCAGCCGGATGGTGGAGAAGGGAGCCTGATAAAGATAGAGTAGGAAGCAGTCCAGGGAAATAGCAGCGAGATTTGAGATGGAGCAGACCCTGGCTGCTGACTGTAGGGTCCCTGAGCTGGACCCCGGAGCAGAGTGGGTCGGGTTCCCCAACCAGCGGTAGAAGGGAAGATTGCCTGGGACAGATCGTCCAGTGAATTCGGATACCCTGGAAAACACACAGTGACCCAGCCGGGGGGGGGGGGCAAGCTGTGAAAAGGGATCCCCCTAAGCCAGGAAGAGGGATCATCCCGACGCACTGCAAATCCTGGAGCGTGAGACAGAAGGGGGCATCCGAGCAGGCGGCCCTATTCCCCAGACGCAGCCCCAAGGAGTGAACCCCACGACAATCCCCTGTGGAGGGCAGTGGGGCAGGGGGCTAAAGCAATGTATGGCCAGAGCAGGACTGCTTAGCTCTGCACACCGCATCCCTCAAGCTGTCTTTCTCAGCATCTCGACAGGGCTGCGGTTTTCCTGGGATTCAGCCATGGCCCAGTTCAGAGGAGGCTTTGGAGTGGCATGGGGACCTGGCTGGGACGGGGGGGGGCAGGGAAGAGACGAAGCAAGTAAACAGGACAGCCGCGAAACAAGCTTAAGTGAGAGCACCTGCTACTGAGATCAGCTGCTGCCACGTCCATTTCTCTCTCTCTCTCTCCACC